TAAAGCATTCAGTCCCCAGTACCAAAAAAAAAAAAAAAAAAAAAGATAGGCCTCAATAAGAAGAGCAGCATCAATCCCCACCCTCTACTAAAAAGAAAGAAAGAAAGAAAAAAGGCAAGATGATCCAGTAAGGCCATGTTAGTAACTTTCATGAAAGATGGTGGCTTGGGGAGCTGGGGTTGTGGCTCAGTGGTAGAGTGCTTGCCTCACACGTGCGAGACCCTGGGTTCTATCCTCAGCACCACATAAAAAATAAATAAATGAAGATGGTGGCTTAGGGTTAAGCTGGTAGCAATGAAAGTGGTCAGAAATGGTGTATTCTGTATTTTTTCAGCAGCAAAATAAGCTCTTCAAGAGCTCTTGATTATGTATAACAAAATGATACTACTGTAAGACTTTCACATCCTGCTGTAAGTCTAAAGTTCTTGCCTTTTATCTCAACTTTCTTCTCTATGTTCTTTCTACTTCTGTATCTGTTTTTTCTGGGTGGTGTAGTCATTATGACTGTGAGTCTGGAATTAAGCCATCTGGGTTTGATTTCTGACTTTTCATTAACTATTGTGTGGTCTTAACCCTTTATGTCCTATCATCCTATGCAAAATTAAAAACTTCCGACTAATTAAGGGTTAATTAGTTTCTCTAAGCCTCAGTTTTCTAATTTTAGAATTGGGATGTTAATAAAATCACCTACTCAAAGAGTGATATTGAGATTAAATTAGGTAATCCATGAAAAATACTTAACATAAAGCATGGCATGTATGATTAAGGTCTCATAAATATTAGCTACTATTATTATCTCAGATTGTGTTCTTGTGGCCACAATCTTTCCTCTGCATTAAATGCTAACCTTTCTTAATATACCGTCTTCCATTATAATCTTTTACTTTCTATTTTTGTTTCCTAAATATATACAATAAGAATTCTTTTTTAAATATTGCTTTTTGTAGTTGTAGATGGACAGCATGCCTTATTTTATTTGCTTATTTTTGTATGCAGTGCTAAGAAGCAAACCCAGTGCCTCACACATGTTAGGCAAGTGCTCTGCCACAGAGCCGTAGCCCCAGCCCACAATAACAATTCTTAAAATGAAGTTTTAAAACCAAACTATTCATAATTTCACTACTATATGCTTTCATCTTTTATAATCCCTCTGGTCTTTGTCCATATGTATTTATGTAGTTACTTTTACTCATTTTTCATGATCAATTCAAATGTCATCTCATGATGCCTTTCCAAATCCTCTCGGTAGTTAGCCCTTCTATGCTTTGGACTCCTTTACTGTTTTTAAACAAAGACACTGTTATTTATATATGTCTGTCACCTTGTCAAACTCAGAGCATCTTAAATAAAAAGTCCTGTTTTATTTACCTTCCATTCTCTTGACACCTAGCATTTGGTGAGCATCAGCAAATATTTATAAAATCAAACAACTGAGTGATCCTAACAAGGCTCACCACTTCACTCTTTCTTACATGTAATTGCTAGATTGATATTTGAGACTCTCTTGCTGAAAGTTTTCAGTGATTCCTATTACCCGCAGAATAGTCTAGACTCCTTAGCTTGGTAATTGGTACACTCAACTATCTGACTTCAGTTTCAACTTTATTTCCTACTATAGTTAGTCAAACTGAACTGGACTTGCCAGAGTGCCCTATTCACTTTTCTACATTTATATCTTGATTTATATTATTCCTTATTCCTGACTCCTCTCCTGTCTTAATTCATTTCCCTCCACCCTCCTCAAATGCCACCTCTTTTTTTTTTTTTTTTTTTTTTGGTACAGGGGATTGAATTCAGGAGACTTGGCTACTGAGTCACATCCCTAGCCCTGTGGTATTTCATTTGGAGACAGGGTCTCACTGAGTTGCTTAGCACCTTGCTGTTGCTGAGGCTGACTTTGAACTTATGATCCTCCTGTCTCAGCCTCCCAAGCCGCTGGGATTACAGGTGTGCACCACCATGCCCACTCCCATCTTTGAGGTCTCAGAGCATGGTGCTTCTCATTTGCATTTTACGGAGGACATTTATGGACATGTATTTTTTCCTATTTACTATAGTCTCTTAAAAGATAGTTACAATATTAGACCCACAGCAGTTTTGCTTGGCAAGGCTTTTTGTACAGGGTAGTTTGGCTGTATTCATTCCCATAGTTCAACTTCTGTTTAAAATTTTCATTCTAGTTACATTTTAAACTTACTTATGTTTAATTTTTAACTTTGTTTAAGCCAGCCCTGCTGTGGAGTTCAGAAGAATTGGCAATGGAAGCTTTTATATTTGACTGTTTGCCAACCTTTGATGGACTTCACTGGTCATTTATTCCATTCTATTATTTTCCACTGTTATAAAATACTGTGTCATTTTATTCAAGTCAGTCAACATTGATATTTGCTTATCGAGGGAATAGAAAGATATATAATTAGCAATCACATGTCACCATGGAACTGTACAAGGAAAACCAGTCCACTCGTTTAGAAATCTCAGTGCCTCTAGAGCCAGCCTTCCTCACATTGCCTTCTTTATTCTCTATTTTCCAGTTACATTTGAAGCTCAGAATTCTCCCTGTAGAATTTCCCCACTGGTAGTTTCTACTTCTAATTCAGGATTCTCTTTAAGCCTGGCATCCCTCAAAAAGCCTCCCATTCCTTTCCAACCCCCATCCTTCCCCTTCTAAGCCAAGTTACTTGTCTGTTATATCTATTCCTGAGCACTGTGCTCTTTTTTGTCAGAGAACTTATCCAAGTACATTGTAACTATTGGTTTATTTGTCTACTTTTTTTGGTAAGCTGAAGTCTCCCCAAGAGCCTATCTTGACTCCCTTTTGCATATCTAGACCTAGTGCAATTTCTGTTATATAATTAGATGCATATTAGTTAGCAGCTTTCTAAGTTCATTCCTGGATGGAAACTGGCTAGAAATGCTCTTAGCTTTCTACTGTTCAGCTAACATGAAAACAACACAGAATTCAGTTCTTGAGCAACTTATGCCCTGGAAACAATATTTCTATTAACTGGTATTCAACTGTCATAAAAGTAGATGAACCAGACAATCATGTACCCAGAGAAAAGGTGGAGCAGGGAGAAGTGAAGAGTAAAGATGGGAGTGAGTTAGCAAAATTCCACACAGTTAGTTGTAAACTAGTACAAAGGTGCCTGTGCTTTGTGAAGCTTTCTTGATTCAGAAGATCTCAAATAGGAGCAAAGAGCAAAAGGCAGCCAATAGTGAAAGCAGGAAAGCAGAGATTCACAGCAGGCAGACATAAGCAGGTGAGCACCTGAATGGGGCCCTGTTCTATGGGATTGTGGTCTTTGAGACTTTAGGGGGCATGGAGAAGGGGAAGCCAGAATATAAAGCTCTGGAAAGGCTGAGTAGTGAGGAATAAGTGTTAACTACAGGTATAAAGAAACTGAAAAGACCTTAGAAGGATATAGAGATCGTGAGGGACGAACACTAGCTGGCACTGAAGTTTCAAAGCAAAGAATTGAAGAGGGTATTTTGTTGGGGGTGAATAAAAGTAAGAGATATTGAGAAGACTGGTTCTCAAGTTCAACTTATATATGACTATCTGTATTATCTTGAGTAGTATATAAAATTTAACACATTTGGATAAATTATATCTTTGTGTAGTTGACACATTGGAGAAACAGTCCTTCCTTGATAGCTTGGAATCATGATCTTCCAGAAGGCAGGTGATTAATCTTTTGAAAGAAGTCTGCCATTGTACTAATGTTAAATGGGTGAAGATCCAGTGCCTGAGTTATTGGATCCCTGTTTATCCCTTCAGAGTGTTTATTTAACACCTAGCATATGTTAGCTCTGTCCCAGCACCAGGAACACTCCAGAAACAAAATACAAAAGTTTCTGCAGATGGATAGCTAACTCTGGAGAGTGGAAGTGGGGGAAAGACGGAAATATAAAAATAAACAAGTAGTAAATTACACAGTGTATTGGAATGTGAGAAGTGCTGTGGAGAGAAGCAGGGACAGAAGATAGAAAATGTGTATAGAAAATGTGTGTGTGGGACTGGGGATGTGGCTCAATCGGTAGCACGCTCACCTGGCATGCGTGCAGCCCGGGTTCGATCCTCAGCACCACATTCAAACAAAGACGTTGTGTCCGCCGAGAACTAAAAAATAAATATTAAAATTCTCTCTCTCTCTTAAAAAAAAAAAAAAGAAAGAAAAGAAAATGTGTGTGTGACCAGTGTACTACAGTTTTAGAAAGGGAAAGGGAGGTCTCACCGAAAAGGTGAGGAAAAAAAATAAAAAATAAAGATTTTTTAAAAAATGAAAGAGTGGGCTAGGGATGTGGCTCAAGGGGTAGCGCGCTCGCCTGGCATGCGTGCAGCCCGGGTTCAATCCTCAGTGCCACATACAAAAAAAGATGTTGTGTCCGCTGGAAAAAACTAGAAAATAAATATTGAAGTCTCTCTCTCTCTCTCTCTCTCTCTCTCTCTCTCTCTCCTCTCTCTTAAAAAAAAAGTGAAAGAGCAAGTTGCGCAGACTGGGGTCATGTATAATAAGATGCCCTCCTGTAAATTCAACATTGTAAGTCTTCCTAATACCATTTTAAAAATAGCTAATCTTAAATAAAAGTGGGGTTATCAGTGGTTAGAAGGTAGGTGCTGAGGTCGGAAAGGGCATTTTACATGTTAATCCTTTGCTTTTTCTAAAATTTGTTTGGCTTTTCTCCAAATACCTGGTATGACTCTGCAGTTTTCATTCCATGAAAACTGATACCTACGATGCTTTTTTTTTTTCTCCTTTAAAAATCTTCTGGAAGAAAAACAAATGTTTGCTTAGTGAAAACAGAAGCTGGAAATATTTTTGAGAATCCACAATATTATGAAATATAAGTGACCTGTGAAGAAGCTGCTGTCACAGAGACAAAAGGGAGCTGGTATCCAGAGTGCCACTCATGCAGGTCCTGAGGGAAGAGGGAGCACATGCTGGACAAAGCTGGTGTCCAGTGTTAAGAATCTAAAGAACTGTTTCTGTTTTCAGCTATGTAGATTGATCTGTGTGACCAGCCCATTTTCTGTAAAAGAAGAATCCTCTGAAGTGAGTGCTTTAAGATGTGAGTATGAATCTGGCCAGGCAGCTGTCCTTTCAATGGTTAATTTCCTGGGATGAAATTTCCTTTGTTAGGAATTTTGAAAGTTTGAACAATTCTTTTGGTTCCTTTCCCTAGCCAGTAGCTCCGATTCTTAACCACAGGATAGAAGTTCAGCCTTGAATAGCGATCAAAGGGACAATTCTAACTGCCTTTGCAGTACTTCAGAAAAATATTTAAATATTTTAAAATTCCAAATGAAATTAACTTTCATCTGCTTCATTTTATGTTATATGTCTCCTGTGGGGAGTGAGGTATTTTACTTAAGCCCTCAATGGTCAATAAACTTAAGAATGAGTAAGAATACTTTATTTAGAGCCAGGTGCAGTGATGCACACCTGTAATCCCAATGGCTTGGGAGGCTGAGACAGGAGAATTGAGAATTCAAAGCCAGCCTCAGCAATGGGGAGGCTGTAAGCAACTTATTGAGATCCTATCTCTAATAAAATACAAAATAGTCAGTGGTTGAGTGCCCCTGAGTTCAATCCCTGGTACCCCCCTCCCCCAAAAAAATAGGGCTAGGGATGTGATTCAGAGGTCAAGTGCCCTGAGTTCAATCCCTGACACGACCTCCCACCACCACCAAAAAAAAAAAAAAAAGGAATTTACTATATTGGCTTTGGTGAAGAATGATGAAAAATAAGCCTCCTTTATGTTTTAAAAATTATTTCCCAACAATAATAATAAGTCCTTTATTTCCTTCCACTTTGTACAACCTCAGTCCTGGAAAAATACTGGGATGTTACATAATATTTAAACAATGTATTGTAATTTTAAAACAAAAAACAAGAGCCAGTTGTGGTGGCACATGCCTATAATCCCAGTATTTGGGGGGCTGAGGTGGGAGGATTGTGATCAAGGCCTGCCATAACAACCTAGTGAGGCTGTCTCAAAAAATTATAAGGGGTGAGGATATGGCTTGGTGGTACAGCATCCCTGAATTTAATCCCCAGTACTACAAAATGAATGAACAAATAAATGAATAAATAAATGGACTACAGATATAACTAAGTGATAGAGCACTTGCCTAATATAGATGAGGCTCTGGGTTTGATCTCAAGTATCACAATAAAACCTTTTTTTAATTAAACATAATTTTAATTTTTCTATATTATGCATAATAAATTATTATACATACAAAGTTAAACTAGTCATTATCTCTTCCTAAGAAGAATATGGTCTAACAGAGACAATCATTATGTTCTTGAACTGGAGAACAATAAGGAAAAACTGACAAAAGAATGGATGTAATTACTTCAGGGCAGAAATGGCATTTGAATTATTATTAAATAGGGATATAATACTATACATTTAACAGCCATGTGATTTTAAACCACTATTAACATTAACAGAAATTTTTAATATACTAAGTTGATGATTTTTTATTCATTATTTTTTTCCCTTGGCAAAATTTATGGACCACCTATAGTATATTAGTCACTCATCTATGTGCTAGAATAAAGCAAGAAACAAAAATAGATAAATTCCCTATACTCATGGATCGCAGTCTGGATACATTTTTTTATTATTATTTCATAAATACTTAAACTATAAAAAGACTTTTGAATTTGATTACAAAAACATTGATCACACCATTCACTTTACAAAACTAAAAAAATTTTATAAATGAAGGAATTAGATGATGTGCATATTAGCACATATGGATTGGAATATGAAGTACTATTTCCAAAAAAGATTTGAGAAACCTCACTTCCCCATCTCTAATAGAGAATTCCCCAAAGAATAAATACTCTTCCAGGTGCCATCAGCATCCATAGATAGCTTAATGGCTTTTTTGTTATTGTTGTTGTTCTTAGATGCACATGACAGAGTATATTTTGACATATTATACGTACATGGAGTACAACTTATTCTAAGTAGGTTCTCCATCTATAACTTATTCTAATTAAGATACACACATATGTGTATATATGTAGGAAAATCAAAATGAGATAATTTGTATGTATTCCAATTACATGTATATGTGCAATACATAGATCTAAAAGTATACGTATGTGTATGTGCATATATAGTGTCTCATTTGATTTTCCTAATAACCATGTTAAGGAAGAAAGGGCAGTTAAGATTTTTTTTTTAGTAGATGGATGCAATATTATATTTATTTATTTTTTAAATCTAGTGCTAAGGATTGAAACTAGTGCCTCGCATGTGCTAAGCAAGCACTCTACCACTGAGCCACAACCCCAGCCCCAAGGTACTTTACAATGAGGAAATAGAGTCTCAGAGAGGCTAAATGATTTGCTCAAGATCATGCAACTCAGGCTAGTGGGTATGACTCAGTGGTGAAATGCTGGCCTGGCATGGACAAAGCCCTGGGTTTAACCCCCAGCCCTCCAAAAAAAAAAAAAAAGATCATGCAGCTCCCTGATAGAGAACAAATGCTAGAACTGGAACCTAGGACCTCTGACCTGACAAATAGTACTGTCCACTATTTCCCATGTCCTTTTACTAACTTTCTAGCAGTATTTGTATCCAGCCTCCATTGTATGGAAATCCAAAGTGTGATGAAGACACATTAAAAAATATGGACAATAACTTGCTATAGGATTAGCATTTGGAATTAGGAAAAAAGAAATAGAGAAGATTAAAGACTGATTTATGGTCTGGATATCACTACTGACTTACTTTGTAATTTTCAGCAAGTCATAGAACCTCTTTAATTTGGCCATTTGTCCTAAGTTCTTTTGGCAATAATGTTGCCTGAAACCTGTGAAGCTGTTTTGAAATTCATAGTGGGCTGGGTATAGTGGTATATGCCTGTAATCCCAATCATTTGGGAGACTGAGGCAGAAGAATCACAGGTTTGAGACTAGCCTGGGCAATCTTGCAAGGCCCTGTCTCAAAATAAAAAGGATGGGGATATATGGATATAGCTCAGTTGTAGAGTACTTGCCCAGCATTTGTGAGGCCTTGGGTTGATCCCCCAGTACTGCGCCCCCTCCTAGCAAATATGTATTTGCAAGCCACTAGCAATATTATTGATTATAATTAATAGCTCAGTGACATAATCCTATTTTTTTAATGGTACTGGGCATTGAACCCAGTGGTGTTTTACCACTGAGCTACATTCTTAACGTTTTAAAAATTTTTATTTGAAAAAGTCTTACTAAATTGTCTAGGTTGGCCTTGAACTTGCAATCCTGTCTCAACCTCAGTCTCAGTACTTGCTGGGATTACAAGTGTTCTCTATCAGGCCCAAAAGTGCCTTTTTTAAGGCTATGAATACCCCCCAACACCATTGGCCCTTTTTAGGTAGATCAACCTAAGTAGGTAAGTTTCTTTTGATTGATGTTTATATTCTTTGTAACTTTATTTCAGAGATTGAATTAAGCTTATCTATCAGTCAAAAAGAGGAAAGGGAGGAAAAGAAAGAAGGAGGGAGAGAGGAATGTTAGTTTGTGATCTAAAGGCAAAATGGTCAAAACACAAAAAAAGAAAATTAGACTCACCCGTAGGAGCAAGAGGGCACAAAGAACATTTGAGCACGTGAGAACCACTCTGTAATTAAAAGCAAAGCTTAGGAAAATGTATTTTAAACCCCAGTTTCCTTTTGGAACAAGATACCCTTTAGAAAAAGTGCTAAGAGCCTGTATTACCCTGGTTTAGCTTGTTGTACTTGTTTCTTAGAAATAGAGAAGGAACACCTTGGGGACAAGGGCAGGATTTCTATTATGGTGTTTCTTCTCTTACAGGTTAACCAAAAAAACCAATTGAACTAACCTTGTGAATCTTTGTCCTATAAGCCACTACAGGATTGTAAGCAGCACTCCTTCCACAATCAAACTTCAGGTCACCACACCTTGGATAGAGTATGGCCACTTCCTGGGGCACAGTCTTTTTCATGCTGGTGGCATCCTGTGTTTGTAGCACTATCTTCCATAGAGATCAGCAGACTTGGTTTGAGGGTGTCTTCCTGTCTTCCATGTGTCCGATAAATGTCAGTGCCAGCACCTTGTATGGAATTATGTTTGATGCAGGAAGCACTGGAACTCGGATTCATGTTTATACCTTTGTGCAGAAAATACCAGGTAAGTGCAACTGGGACCCTCACCAATCCATGAATCCACCCTTTAGCACCTCTTCCAGAAACAAATGTGCTGAGAGTGTGTGGTGTGAATAGTCAGTGTCTTTCTTCAGAGAACACTTTGGACTTTAACTGAACATTTTTATTCAATGTGAAATTAAGAGACCTGGGCTGCCTGAACTCTGAAACCCATATGTCCAAGAAATACAGCTATAATTTGTCCTTTCTTTTATGCAAAGTTGATTAATACTCTAGGATTCTAGAATAGTGAGAATATTGGGAGTGATCTTGGGGAGAGAATCACATGAGTTTTATTATCCTTGTATTCATCCTTGAAGATGGGGCTGAGGGGACCCTGAAAATTAACTTTTTCTGAATTGTTAGTTTTTTTTTTTTTTTTTGTGGTGGTGCTGGTAATTGAACCCAGCAGGGCCTTGTGCATGGAGGCAAGCACTCTACCAACTGAGGTATCCCCAGCCCTGAATTGTTTTATTATTATTATCCTGAAGAGCCTGGTGAAAGGGGCTGGGTTTGTGGTTCAGTGGTAGAACACTTGCCTAGTGTGTATGAGGCACCGGTTTGATCCTCAGCATCCATAAAAAAATAAGTAAAATAAAGTTATATTAGGTCATGGGCTAGCAAGTGTCTTCTGACTCCAACTCGTGAGTTCCCCCCAAAAAGAGCCTGGTAAAAGGAATAGGAGCTAGATATCAACCAGAGAAATGACAGACTCTGAAGGGTTGTCTGATGCCTTCTGTTTCCCATTTCAAAAACTTCTGAAAGACATTCCTCACAAGTGGTATCATTTGGGATAGTCTAGGGAAAGAGTAGGTAAATCTACTCTTACATGACAACTTACAGAGCCTTGTAGCTAAAGAACTTAACTTTTGGTAATCACCTCTTCTGTTTTGTTCTGTGGACAAAACAGGACAGCTTCCAGTTCTGGAAGGGGAAATCTTTGATTCTGTGAAGCCAGGACTTTCTGCTTTTGTAGATCAACCTAAGCAGGTAAGTTTCTTATGATTGATATTTATATTCTCAATGCCTGGATAACTTTACCACATCACTGCTGTTAAATATCTCGTGTTATTTGTTAATGATATTGAGGTCATGTGTGAAATCAATTTCTCTCCTTAGTAAGTCTCCTGGATAACAGTAATTGTATACTCCAGGCTCACCAGGGCTGGGTGGAAGGAGGCTAGAAAATAAGTTGTGCTTGTTCAGGATAGATGACAAAGTACAGGATAGATTGTACTTTTTGTATTTACTATTTAAGGTTTTGAGTTGAAGCCATTAACTGAAAAATTATTTAATGTCAGTGAAGAAGATACGCATGAAGTTCTCTAGGGTATGAGGCATAAACATGGCAATTGAAGGATGGAGACCCAGTGAATTCTATTTCAGAGGGCTCTGATATAGGATGGAACCATGCTTGTACCTGAGAATTAATCAACCACCCTTGATGACTAAAATCTTTGGTAGTAGAGGATAGTTTATGGTGACTAGTAGCTGTATTTCATATTTGAGCACCCCAATATACTATACCCAGTATGTCTGAGGCCACACTGATATAACAGAATAAGGTAGAAAGTTGAACTTGGTATTAGAGGTAAAGATATTTATTGTCCAGGGTCATGGAATAATCATTAACCAAGGGAAAACCTGATGAAAAAATGGTTTGCGCTTGAAGAATGGACAGGATGTATTTTCTCAGTTCAGTAGCACATGAAACTGCAAATGTACTAGAAAATTGGGAGCCATTGAAAGCAACTGCATTATCAGAAACTGATTTGATATTTAGAAAAGATAATTGTGTTGTGTTTGCTAGTAAAAATACAGTGTATTACCTGAATAAATTCATACAAGGAAACACTTATCAATCATAGCATGATGACAGCTATAGCTAGTATTTGTATGGCAGCCACACTGACTGTGCCTCATCTAAAGTGCACACCAGTTTAGTGGTGGTGTAAGGTGTATTTCCTATCTTACATCTGAGGAAACCAAACCTCATGAAGGCCAAGTGACCCATATTAGGTCATGGGCTAGCAAGTGTCTTCTGACTCCCAACTCTTGAGTTCCCAATACTATATCTGACTTTCTGGCTTAACCTAATTTTTAAATTTTCATTTTATTTTTGGTGTTGGGGACTGAATCCAGGGGAACTTTACCACAAAGCTATTATCCCCAGTCCTTTTTATTTTTTATCTTGAGCCAGAGTCTCTCTAAGACTTAGTAAGACAGGGTCTCACTAAGTTGCTGGGGCTGGCCTTGAAGTTGCCATTTTCCTGCCTCAGGTTCTTGAGTCACTGGGATTACAGGCATGGGCCACTGCACCCAACCATACTTAAATTTTTTTATCTGAAACAGAAGACGCCTTTTTAAAAAATCTATCTTTCTTTCTTTTTAAAATTTTTTTATTTTCTTTACTCATTTTTAAGACAGGTTCTCTGAAGTTGCCCAGGCTGCCTTGAACTTGTAATTCTCCTGCCTCCTGAGTAGCTGGTATTATAGGCATGAGCCAAACTAAACCTAATTTATTGACACGTAAAATAACAATCCACTAAAATGACCATACTATAGCTGGGTGTGGTAGTGCACACATGTAATACCAACCACTTGGGGAGGCTAAGGCAGGAGGATCATATGTCCGAGGCCAATATGGGTGGTTTAGTGAGACCCAGTCTCAAAATTTAAAAAATTTAAAAGGACTAGGAATGTAGTTCAGTGGTGGAGTACTTGCCTTGAATGTGCAAGGCTGTGGATTCAATTCCTGGTGCTATACAAGCACACTATAAAAGGACACACCATAAAAGAATAATTGTTATTATGACTGTCAAAATAAAATGGATACTCCTTCCAAGTATTCCACTTCTCTGGGTTTCTGTTTCTGCAGTTCAGAGAGGAGCCCTCTGCCACATCCTTCCTAATATTCCCCCAAAGCATGAAGGAGTAGACCAATGCTCTAAATGGACTGTTAATTGGATATATGGGTTGTCTCTTTCAAAGGGTGCTGAGACTGTTGAAGAACTCTTAGAGGTGGCCAAAGACTCAATTCCCCAAAGTCACTGGAAAAGGACCCCAGTGGTCCTGAAGGCAACAGCAGGACTGCGCTTACTGCCAGAACAGAAAGCCCAGGCTCTGCTCTTTGAGGTAATTTTTGAAATCTGCATCTTGGATAATTCTGTGTTTTTCTGTATATGAATATTTTCTTTTTGAGGGCTTAGACCTTTGGAGTGTAACTGCAACTTTTAGTATTCCACCATTGCTAAAGCACTGTGGTGACTCAGCTCTTGTAGCTAGTTATATGCCTTTAAAAATATATTTATTTTTTAGTTATAGGAGAACACGATATCTTTATTTTATTTTTATGTGTTGCTGAGGATCGAACCCAGTGTTTCACGTATGCTAGGTGAGCACTCTACCTCTGAGCCAAAACCCCAGCCACCCCTTCTTTTTTTTTTGGTACAGAAAAGAGCTTTAGCCAGGTGTGGTGGTATATGCCTATAATCCTGCAGCTCAGGATGCTGAGGCAGGAGGATCTTGAGTTCAAAGCCAGCCTCAGTAACTGAGTGAGTCCTTAGTAACTTAATGAGACGCTATCTAAAGTAAAAGAAATTTAAAAGTCTAATGATGTGGCTCAATGATTAAGTGCCTCTGGGTTCTGGGTTCAATCTCTGGTACCAAAAAAAAAAGAAAAAAGAAATAAACGAAGGGAAGGAAGGAAGTTAGTTTATTAAGTTCATGGTTCTAAAAGCTTGGCATCTAGTAGGGACTTTCCTGCTGGATCAGGACATGGTGGAGGGCATCAGATGGGGAGACAAGCTTCAGCTACATACATTTGTAACTACAACTTTTGAATTTATGGAGCTTCTTCTGAAAAATGAATACTACCTCCTGTCTATGATAATTGTTCTAAATTTTTAAAAGCAGGATCATGGAAATGGTCTTTAATCAACTTTATTGAGATAAATTTATTTTTTTAATTATTATTTTATTTTTTTAAATTGGTTGTTCAAAACATTACAAAGCTCTTGACATATCATATTTCATACATTTGATTCAAGTGGGTTATGAACTCCCATTTTTATTCCATATACAGATTGCAGAATCACATCGGTTACACATCCACGTTTTTACATATTGCCATACTAGTGACTGTTGTGTTCTGCTATCTTTCCTATCCTCTACTATCCCCCCTCGCCTCCCATCTTCTCTCTCTACCTCATCTACTGTAATTCATTTCTCTCCCTTGATTTTTTTTCCCTTTCCCCTCACATCCTCTTATATGTAATTTTGTATAACAGTGAGGGTCTCCTTCCATTTCCATGCAATTTCCCTTCTCTCTCCCTTTGAGATAAATTTATGGGAGTATTTGAACATATATATTTATGTAAACAAATGAATATATTCATTTTTGGCATACATTTAAATGAGTTTTGACAAATATTGCAATTTTCTTGTGATCCTTTAGTCAGTTTCCCCTGCCCCTAAAACCAAGCAACCACTGAACCACTGATGTGTTCATCACTTCATATAAATTTTGCTTATATTTCATATAAATGGAATAATAGTGTTTAAATTCTTTTTTTGTATATCTGGCTTTTTTTTAAATCAAGATAAAGTTTTTAGAAGAATCATGGAATTTTAAAGTTTGAAAGATTTCAATTTACCTATTTATTTATTTATTGGCAGTGCCAGGGATGGAACCTAGGGCCTCACACATGCTAAGCAAGCACTCTACCACAAAGCCACATCCCCACCCCAATTTGAAAGATTTTTCACCAGGTGTGGTATCACATGCCTGTAATCCCAGTGACTTGGGAGGTTGAAGCAGGAGAATTGCAAGTTCAAGTTCAGCTTCAGCAAGTAAGCAGCTTAGTAAGACCAAGTATCTCAAAATAAAAAATAAAAAGGACTGGGGATATGGGTTAGTGATAAAGCACCCCTGGCTTCAATTCCTGGTGGGTGGAAGGAAGGAAGGAAGGAAGGGAGGGAGGGAGGAAGGGAGGAAGGCAAGTAGGCTGGCTTCAAAAAGCATTGTTTCAGATAAAAAAATTAAGTATGGTTGGGTGTAGTGGCCCATGCCTGTAATCCCAGTGTCTGGGGCAGGAGAATGGCAACTTCAAGGCCAGCCCCAGCAACAACTTAGAGAGACTCTGTCTCAAAATAAGAAATAAAAAGTACTGGGGATAGTTGCTTAGTGGTAAAGTGCCCCTGGGTTCAGTCCCCAACACCAAAAACAAACAAAAACAAAAAAGAAAAACTGGAATTTTGTTAAACTCAATATTTTAAATTTTATTGTACGGTTGTACAATAAACATAATATTTAAATTTCATGTTGTAAAGAATATTTATAAAAATATGAGAAGTAAAGACTATTTGTAGGCAGAATCCCATAAAAATCACAGCAACAAAAGATTTTGTATTAGAATTGTGCTCATTCTTCTAAGTCCTTTGACTATCAGCACAGAGGGCTTAAGTTCCTTATCCAAGTACAAGCAGCCTAGCATGTCTGTGAGAATCTGAATCCCAATTCTTTATTTATTCATTCATTCAGTTTATGAGGGCTAAGTGCAGACTAGGTGTTGATAAAGTTACTGGGGATAGGAGCAGCAGGAAACAAAAAAGACAATCAGTCCCTGTCCTCATGGAGCTCATTCACATTCTAGTTTCAGGGAAACAAAATAAAATAACGTTGTTCAAAGTATTTCATATAACTGTAGTTGCTACAAGAAAAATAAAGCAGGGTAAGGTGGGTAGGGAATGCTGGTGGTAGGGGGAGGTGCTATTTTAATTAGAGCAGGCAGAAGAGACCTCTCTGGTAAGATTCATTTGATCAGAGGCCTGAGGGGAATAGAGAAACAGCTATACAAAACATTTGTGGGACTATTTCAGGCTCAAAAGAAGAGCAGCTGCAAAAAGGCTAAGGCAGGAACGTACTGGCCATGTTCAGGAACAGTATCCAGGAGGTGAGCGAGGCTGGAGGGAACTGAGTGATGAGAGCCAAGTAGAAGTGAGATCAGAGGTGGGGGAGTTTGTCATAGTGCTCTCAAAGGCCAATATAAAGAGTTTGACTTTTTTCCTAAAAAGAAGGAAGCCATCAGAAGGTTTAGGAAAACCTGTTCTGATATCCAATATTAAAAGCATCATTCTGGCTGCTATGTTGAGAATACTGTGGTGCAGAGGAGAGGAGTGAAATCAAGAGCAGGAAGTCTCTTTCTGTATTTATTCCTATTTGCTTATCTATCTTCTCCTTAAAAGTTTACTTACAGGTCACTTAACTGGCTTTTCCTGGTTGAAACAGGATCCAGAGGTCACTACTTGATGTGTTTCATCCCATTAGAAGTGAGAACTGCAAACAGATTAGAATTCTTCTTATTTCTGTTTGGAAAATCTTTTCCCCCCCATAAGAATCATAAAAATAAGCCATAATCCACATATCATTAGCCTGTATTTGTGGAGAATCAAGAGCACTGTGCCAGATCTTCATTTTCATTTTCTAAAATAGGATTCCATAAGTCTAGGTCTGAGGTCCCCCTAAGACTCTAAAGGGTCTAACCATGTGCCAGAATCCAACAGAGATGGCAGAATGCTCAGTCCTTAGACAGGAACTCCTTTTCTGTGCGAGATCCATCAGCTCATCTAAGAATGAACTGGGAAAAGCTCCTCCCAGATTCTAGTGAGTGTCCAGGTAGAATCTAACCACGGGTTTTTTTTTTTTTTTTCTTTTTCTTTTTTTGGTACTGGGGATTAAACTCAGCTTAACTACTGAGCCATATCCCCAGCCCTAATTTGTATTTTGTTAGAGACAGGGTCTCACTGAGTTGCTTAGGGCTTCACTAAGTTGCTGAGCTGACTTTGAACTCATGATCCTTTTGCCTCAGCCTCCCGAGCCGCTGCGTTTACAGGCGTGTGCCACTGTGCCCGGCTTAACTACAGGGGTTTTTTTTTTTTTTTTTTTTTTTTTTTCCCCATGTCTTTATTTATTTATGAAGGTGCTGAGGATCGAACCCAGTGCTTCACACATGCGAGGCAGGCACTCTACCACTGAGCCTCAGCCCCAGCCCTTAACCATAGGTTTTTAACAGAATTACAGGATCCTGATTGAGTTGTCAGGATCAGATATATTTCCTTCTCTCAGTTCAGTTCATCCAAAAATTTAGATGGTTTGTTTGAAATTATCTTTAAAGTCAGAAATCCCTGTGTTTGTTTTTGCAGGAAGTGGGTCATGGCTTGTCAAGTTCCTTTTCTGGTTTCTTTCATCTAGGAAAAATAAGCCTTACAGAACAGAGCCCCCAAAAATGTGGAAATCTGTTTTAATGTCTCAGAGAATCCAGATTTTCCTCCTTTTTTCTTAAGGTGGAGGAGATCTTCAAGAAGTCACCTTTCCTGGTCCCAGATGACAGTGTTAGCATCATGGATGGATCCTATGAAGGTAGGAGTGGTGGTAAAAATGTTCTCAGGGGAGAGAGGCGGGGTCAGTGAAAGCTCTGATTCAAGAACTAAGAACAGAGATTGAGCAGTTAGGGAAAAAGAACTAAGTAATCCAAACAAATAAGCAGGGAAGAATGGAAGGACAGGTTTTAAAGGAGGGAACATGTGCTCTCCCACAGAATTTACAGAAAAGAACAAAGGTGGCACCAGGAAAGGGAAAAGAATGCTCTGGAATGTAATCCTTGTATTTCTCTCTTTTAGGCATATTGGCTTGGGTTACTGTGAATTTCCTAACAGGTAAATATATCCTCAAGTATATCTTAAGACTTTAACTGGGGGCCAGGGACATGGCTCAGTGGGAGAGTGCTTACCTAGCACGTACAGGGCTTTGGGTTTGTTTCCCAGCACTGCAAAAAAGAAAAAAAGAAAACAACAACAACAGAAAAAAACCCAAACCAAAAACTTTAACTGGTTTTCATAGGCATGGTCAGGAGAATCAAAATCCCTTTCCCTCTTTCTGTATTGTTCTAAAAAACAAAATAAAACAAAAACAAAAAAAGAGGGTGATTCAGGGAAGACAAAAACTTAATGTTTATAACCAACCTTTAAGGCCTCAGCTGCAACAAAATTTCCTCTTGAGTTGACATTTACCTGCAACTTTTGGGGCCAGGGAGCTTTGGATTATTTATGGAATATTTTCAATATATAACAAGAACAAGAGAGAATTTACAGGCAGACGAGTGTTGTGTTGCCTAAGGTGTGGAGGGTATTCAGAGCTGTTTCTCATTGACAGGTCAGCTACATGGCCACAGCCAGGAGACAGTGGGGACTCTGGACCTGGGTGGGGCCTCCACCCAAATCACATTTCTGCCACAGTTTGAGGTGAGTCATTTGCATGAAGGTCTGGTGAGCAACACACTTGGCAGGCATATCATGGGCCAAGAAACTGGAGCCCAACTTTCAGATAGCAGTTCTGTCATGAACAGACTGAGTAGAGTCAACTCATGACTGGGTGAACTTCCCCTGGCCCTCTCACTGTTCATGAGTCCCTTTGATTCCTCAAACTTTGTGAAATTAGCGCACTGTCTCCATTTCTGATTTTTGCAGGGAGGGACAGGGATGGTGGTAATAAGATCTTCAGATAATTGTAGATCCTGAAAAGTCTTTTTGCTTTTTCTGATTTGCAGAAAACCCTGGAACAAACCCCTAAGGGCTACCTCACTTCCTTTGAGATGTTTAACAGCACTTATAAGCTCTATACACATAGGTGAGGAGGGGGCAGGGAAGATAATCTTTCATGTTGTATGGTTCTCCTAATTTTTCAAAGTATTCTCACATCTGTTATACATCTGATCAGGATTATAAATTTTTTGCCAGTCCCCTAAGACCTACCAATTAAAACCCCAGCCATTTACCAAAACCCAAGGGACCCATGAGGCTTCTCCATTCTTGTCCTCAAAAATATGTGATGTAAAAGTCAAACATTTCTTGCTGAGTGTGGTGGTACACACCTGAATTCCCAGTGATTTGGGAGCTGAGAGGCTGAGGCAGGAGGATTGCAAATTCAAGGCCAACCTTGGTAATTTAGCAAGACCCTAAGCAATTGAGCAAGACCCTGTCTCAAAATACAAAATAAAAAGAGCTGGGGATGTACCTCAGTGATAAAGCGCCCCTGGGTTAGATCCCCAGTACACCTCCCTCAAAGTTTCTTGGGAGGGAGGTCACATGGAAAAAGCTCAGATAAAGCTCAGTACTAACTCCTTTGAGCTGGCCTTCAGATGTTTAGAATCCACTCCACATCCCTATTTGGGGTGAGGAGCTAAGATAATGAGGGCTTTTGTGGGAATGGTTCCCAGGGTGGGACTTTAGGAATATCACTCTGGTCTTAGAATGATAACAGTAGGAGGTTCTTATTTTGATCCAGATTGTGCAGAAATTTCCTCTTGTTGACCATGAACTAAGTCAGAGACAGAACAAGGTTTTTATCTCTCCAAAGGGAGGCAGAGAACCCATATTCCTTTTGAAGGAGGCAGCTTTGGGCTGGAGAACTTCAGGCCCAACATGAAATTGGTCAATCCTATATTTTACAGTTACTTGGGATTTGGATTGAAAGCTGCAAGACTAGCAACCCTGGGAGCCCTGCAAACAGAAGGTTTGTCTGGGTACCTGTGCTGGGTGGGGGTGATGAGCTCAATGCTAGTACTCAGCTCTCCTCTTCCTATCTTTGGCAACAATTCTTGGAGGTAAGACCTATGTTGATTTGGGAAGCACATGTTGTACAAAATGGACATAATAATAGCAAGTTCCTGGTCTGTTTTGTAAGTTCAGATTCTTTGATATGCATCATTAACCATTTTTAGGATGATGTATGTCTACTTGTATGGGGTAATGACTGTTCTGTCAGTTGGAGTTAGGCAGAACTGGGTGCGGTCCTGGTTTGTGTTTTGGAGCAAGTTAGCTAACTTTCTTGTGCCCTGTTCTTGCCTTTTAACGTGATTTCACATTTACTGCATTTTATAGGATGCCTGATTTGTCATAAGGCTGTTATTGGAATGGAGATTTTATAACATTTCAGAGTTATCAAACATCTTTAAGTGTATTTAATTTAAGTCTCTGGCTACAGTAAAAAAGGGTGGCACAGTATTTTTTGGCATTGTAGAAAGGAGGGAACTTACTTTTTTGGGTGTTTTGGATTTCTTTGAGATGGTCAAAGCTATCGACTCCTGCCAAATGTTCATTCATTTACACGAAAATTTGCCTCTAGTTTCTGGGGTTTCACCAACTCTACAAAGCCTGTGTATGAACACTGTGTTAAAAATTGCTGTCACAGGCAGGGCACCATGGTGGACACCTCTAATCTCAGTGACTCAGGAGGCTGAGGCAGGAGGAGGATCATGAGTTCAAGGCCAGTGTCAGCTACTTAGCGAGGCCCTAAGCAACTTAATGAGGCCCTGTTTCAAAATAAAAAATAAAAAGGGCTGAGGATACAGCTCAGTGGTAAAGAATCCCTAGAACTAAAAAAATAAAAAGAAAGAAAGAAAAAAGAAGTATGCTGTCATAGCGATGCAATCAAGGAACTAATTTCATAAGATTTAAAGGCCTGACTCCTGGATGATTCCATTCAGCTTTATGGGTTCCTTGCTTGCCTCCCTCCCTCCCTCTCACATACTGGCCTGTTTGTGTTTGATTTCTTTCAGGGATTGATGGACACACTTTCCGAAGTGCCTGTCTACCAAGATGGTTGGAAGCAGAATGGATCTTTGGGGGTGTGAAATACCAGTATGGTGGCAACCGAGAAGGTAAATGACTAAAATGATCTTTATAGTAGAAGTTCTGGAAAAGTCCCATGGGAAACTTTTTTCAGAGCTCAAGAAAAACTTATCATGTTTCAGGCACTCATTCCAAAGATCTTGGAATGCCTCCAAGAACTAATGTGAAGGGACAGCAAATACGACAGTTGTCACTCTGTGTCCTGGTCTCTTTCCTTGGCTGAGTACCACAGATCCATTAGAAGCCTGTTCGTGGTCTAGGATTTTTTTGTTTTGTTTTGTTTGGTACCGAAGATTGAAACCAGGGGTGCTCTGCCACTGAGTTACATCCCCAGGCTTTTTAAAAAAATATTTTTAGTTGTAGATGGACATAATATTTTTATCTTATTTATTTACATGTGGTGCCGAGGATCAAACCCAGTACCTCACATGTGCTAAGCAAGAGCTCTACCACTGAACTACAACCTCAGCCCCATCCCCAGCCTTTTTATCTTTTATTTTGAGACAGGGTCTCGCTAAGTTATCTAGAACTTGCAAGTCTCTTGTCTTAGCTTCCCAAATTGCTGGGCATAGCCTGAGTTTGATGCAGCATTGTGAAACCCTGTTTCAGGTTCAGTTAATATTTGCCTGTTGAAATCATAGTAAAACTCATGTTTAAGATGATAGGAAGAATGATTCATCTTAGGTATTTTAAAAGACATAGACCTTAAAATTAGGGAGAAAACTGGTTTCCAGTGAAGGAAGCAGGTGAGCTCTCTGGATACTGGCTCACAAAGACCACAATACATTGATAGGCAGCTGTTTGAGGTCAGCTTTGGCTGTGGTTGGTGAACACAGCTTAGGGAGGCAGGCTACCATGGAGAAACAGCATAGAGGTTGCAGAAGTTTGTCCATCTCTGTTTTTAATTAAACCTTTTGTTCTGAGCTTTAGTCTTCTCCTCCATTCTCCTGCATTTCTCCGTTAGCTCCAGAAGCTTGCCTTAGAGAGTGACCTCTTCCCCATCTTTGTTGTCACTCACCACCTGCACTTTTGTCCTGGCAGGGGAGATGGGCTTTGAGCCCTGCTACAATGAAGTGCTGAGGGTGGTGGAAGGAAAGCTTCACCAGCCAGAGGAGATCCGAGGAAGCTCCTTCTATGCTTTCTCTTACTATTATGACCGAGCCGTTGAAACACACATGATTGGTGAGTTCACCCCAGGTGTCAATTGAGAAGGGAAAGAAGGCAGGCCTGTGATGGGGAAGGTCAAGGAGAGAAGCATTTGAAGAGGTTGTGGGTGATTTTGCAGCTCTTCTTCAGTGCACCAGCCATTCAAGTGGGAGGGTGAACATGACTCAGGGTATTTGGGACCTAAAAGATGACCTGAACAACTGTAGGTGAAATCTACTGTTTTGTATTTTATTTAGAGACAGGGTCTCACTGAGTTGCTTAGTGACTCACTTTTGCTGAGACTGACTTTGAACTTGTGATCCTTCTGCCTTAGCCTCCCAAGATGCTGGGATTACACACCTTCACCACCATGCCCAGCTACTTTTTTACATCTTTATTGAGGTATAGTTAATATATGATAAATACACATAAGTTTATAGTGTACAATTTGATAAAAAGGTCACAAGTAATCACCTGTGAAACCATCCAATTTCTTCTGGCTCTTTTAGGATTACTTTTTTTTTTCCGTATCACAAAAGTTATACTAATGATTAGCTGTGAGAGTATAGATACGTGATCTGTTATAGATTCAGAGATATGAATTAATTTCCTGTTTTATATAATCCTACTTTTTAATTGAGGTTAAATACATGTAACATAAAATAGATAACATATATTAACTATTAATATAAATAAATATGGTCTGTAGATTTGTATTATATAGATATGTCATGTTTGTTTATCCCAGTCTCTAAGTTGGAAATTTTATTTCTAGTTTTTCATTATTATAAATAGCACTAGGATAAATTTCCTTGTTTCCTTGAAGAGTTTTTGACACCAGCTATGCTCTATTTCATTTTAGATTATGAAAAGGGGGGTGTTTTAAAAGTTGAAGACTTTGAAAGAAAAGCCAGGGAAGGTGAGTATAAATAAGCCCTTGATGTCTAGCCATCTGTGTGCCTGCCAACTCTGGTGACCTCATGTGACCTGAAGCACCTCCTCAGTTCAGAAATCTGCTCAGAGCGCTGGCCTCAGCATTTCAGCTTCTTTTAAATTCGGCCTTCAGACTTAAAAGCATTGGGTGACATAAGACTGTGCAAGAATACAGGAAAGCAGAGGCTTTAGAGAAATGGTAAAAGAAAAGAACATCTTCATTTTTTCCTTATTGTTTTTTAATTGAAATTGTATTATCAGTGTTAAGGAAACCCTGAGCACCAAAGCACATATGAAATAGCCACAGGGGCTTCCTTAAGAGAAACAATCTAAAATACAAATGATCTTATTTGCTGTCTCCGAAGTGCCTGTCTACCAAGATGGTTGGAAGCAGAATGGATCTTAAATAGTATTTGCCTGTCTTTTGGAGACCTCAGCATTAATTATAGATAGGGACTTAAAACTAAGCCCCCAAAATGGGCCATAGAAATTTGACAAATAGGGGCCTGCAGGTACAGCTCAGTGGTAAAGTACTTGCCTAGCATGAAGGCCCTGGGTTCAGTCCCCAGAACCCAACCCCTTTCTTTACCCAAAAAAAGAAATTTGGCAGATAAAGAAAGAAATTTGGTGAATACGAGTAGACAAGATTTCATACCAGAAGTGTGCAAGTTATTAAGAAGCTATAGTTGCAGACTTGAACTCCACTGTTCACTCTCTTTCGCTTTCAGTGTGTAATAACTTGGAGAACTTCACCTCAGGTAGTCCTTTCCTATGCATGGATCTCACCTACATCACTGCCCTGCTAAAAGATGGCTTTGGCTTTGCAGATAGCACCCTCTTACAGGTAAGAGGCAGAGGGTCCTGGAATCCTGTAACAGTCATCATCTTTTTTTTTTTTTTTCTTTAGTTTAGTGTTTATTTGGCAACAACCTTGCTTGTTGCCAAAAAAAAAAAAAAAAAAAAAAAAGGTTTTGAGGTAGCTCATACATGATTTGATGGACTAGATTATCTGGAAAAGAATTCCTTCTACTGATTCCTGTTTACAGACAGATGAAAGCAATAACATTAATAACATAATGATTCCAAATCAATAGCATCCTATGCATGTCCTCCAAGTGCCGGATTCTGTGCTATTTCAGGTACATTTTCTAATTTAACTTTCATAACAACACTTTGAGTAGACATTAGTTATATCCCCATTTATAACAGTCATCTTTTGTGGGTTAGGAGAAGGAGTCATGAACTTGTTTAGTAATCAGAATAACTATAAATGGAAGTATTTTTGTTCACTGTGCTAGTCACCATGAATGTGGGAAATTACCTTGATGTATATATATTATCATAAATTACCTTGATGAATAATTTATATTGACCACTGTATTCTGGAGTGAATTATGAAAATCACTACAGTCTTCTTGAATAAAGAAAATGGGATTGTGCTACTGCAGAATTTCAAGTCCCTAAGGGACCATCCTTTATTTTTACATATTTTTTTAACTTATTTGGGGTTACTACTAAATGAGTAATGGTCTCATTCATAGCCAAGTTCTCAAAACAAAATGCAGTGTTTCACATTTAAACTTTTTTCAAATGCCTAATGTCTTTATAGGGGCTGGTGTAGAAGTATTTGTACTTCAAAGCTTAGCATATTATAGTTAGAGAATACAGTAATGTATTTACTGTTGTAAGGGTTGGTCTGGGATTAATTCAGGCACATAATGTGGTGTGTAACTAGGTGAGGTGAGGTAGTTGAATATTCCAAAGTTATTCAGAAGCGAGAGAAGGACTCTAGTGTTCTTGGATTGTGCAGAGGCTGTAACTAACACAAGCTGTACAGAAAATAGAGTCCACAATCTATTGGCTCTACACATGCTTAGTTCTTAAAAAGTCTTTTCATCACCTTTGAAATGCATTGTGGTCAGCAGATCAACGGTCACAAAGGAGGTGGCATTGGATAGTGGAAAGCCTACTTGCATGCCCTCTTGAGCACCCTCAAATAGGAGTGTTTCAAGCCTGTTTTCTTTTTCAAAAAATTATTGTAGGGGCTGGGGATGTGGCTCAAGCGGTAACGCGCTCGCCTGGCATGCGTGTGGCCCGGGTTTGATGCTCAGCACCACATACAAACAAAGATGTTGTGTCTGCCGAAAACTAAAAAAAATAAATAAATATTAAAAAAATTATTGTATTAGGTATGTTTGTGTCCAAAACATTTGCTTTTCTAATGCTTGTAACTTACTTAAATACTTCTGCCAAATCAGTGTGACATCTATTCATCCTACAGAGCCCTCATCATTGGCCCACAGCATTTTAGACACAGCAGTGAACCAAACAAAAATTCTTGCTTTTGTAGAGATTGTTCTATCATTGCTATTCTTTTTAAAAATCTAATTATTATTAAACACAAATCTAACTGTTATTTAAATCCAGTTATGTTACTGATCTAGGGGTGCTCAGCGGGCATTTAATCAGAAAGGCCACACACCCCAGCGGCCCCTCTGTGCACTTTGGGACCTCTTCAGGTTGCCCTTAAAGCTTTCTACTGCGGATGCCAGAAACTGGCTGGTCCTTGAAATCATGGTATTCAACATATGTGAACTGTGTGAAGTATTCCCCTCTCTTGTGATCAAGGCATAAGATCCAGGGAACTGTACATCCTCTGCCTTTCAGAAGGGTGCTCACGGTTAGAGTTAGGCCTGGAGTTGCCCTTGGATGATCAGTGGGCCTGGTGACTCTTAGTTATACCTTCAGGGTGTTGTTGTTCTTCATAAAGAGAACATTCTGTGGAAGGTGTGGTTGAAGCATCATCAGGAGGAACAAAAACTGAGTTTTCCAAATGACTATGACCTGCTTTTCTGCTGCTAACAATTTTGTCTAAAAAAAAGTTACTTACATAGCTGAAAAAAATAATTTATATTATCATAAATTACCTTGATGAGTATATATTATCAGGCAGGTCATCTCAAAGGATACAGAACAGAGAGACTTACAGCCCAAATGAAGATGCCCAAGGTCATAGTTTATTCAATCAGAGATGGGCAAAAAGAAAGAGATGGAAGAGATGAACCACACTAGATAGATGCAAGCAGGTTGGAAGCATGCTTCCTGAATCCTAGGTGTGTTTTTTTTTTTAAAGTTGTAGATGGACAACAATACCTTTATCTTATTTATTTATTTTTATGTGGTGCTGAGGATCAAACCCAGTGCCCCACACATTCTAGGCAACTGCCTACCACTGAGCTGAAACTGCAGCCCTGAATCCTAGGTTTCCTGACTTAGATTCATATAACCTCTCTCTGCTACTGAAGAAGTGGTTACAAGAACTTCAGCTGAAGTTTGATCAAGGGAGCAAAGGCCAGGGGATGCCTGTGGCTGTCACACAAATTTGCTCTATTTGAAGAACCCAGGAGCAGATATGCCAGGCCAGTTGCATTAGCTCATCTATTAGTAGGTTTTATTTGGCAGAAGATATGAAGGATCAGAAAGGTGTTACCTCTGAGTAACTTAAATTAAGACCTCATCAATATTGAATGCCTCATGCATATGTAGTGTGTCATATATATTTTATGTAAGCCTCTAGGTTCCTCTTTGTCTTCCTCTTTATTGATTTCAGCAAATGCAGGTTCTGTCTTATCTGTAGTATTTCTCTATTTTAAAATATATCTTAGGAGTTTTTTCCCACCCCATTTATTTTCTTACCTTCTGTACCATGATTGAGCTATGGTTACCGAGATGATTAAGATGTTATCTACAGAAAAATATATAAAGATGAAAAAAAGAGAAAAGCTATATTATTTGCAGATGATGGGATTTTTAAACTCTGAATTCCAGGGAATATTATTAGATCACATACAATTCAGAAGGTAGTGTGTCAGTGCCTACTAATATATCTATTGGATAGAGTGGTTTACTAAAATTATGAATTGTATGTGTATTTATGTGACAGAAGGTTCAAATATATGTTGGAATGGTTAAAAAGATATATGTAGTAAAAGACTATCAAAACATTCTGGAATTTTATTCATTATTTTACATCTGATTTAACTCAATTTGTGAAGAACATACTGGCACTCTTATTGCCCTAGAATATGTTAGCAGTTTTCATATTTTATAAAGTGCTTTTTTTCATTGAAGATCATAGTTCCTAAAAACAAAGTTTAGCTATAATAAGTAGATAAGTTGCTGGATTTTTATAAGATAGTTCTAGTAAAATTAGGAGTATGCAGGAATCATGGTTTGGATATATTTCTATTAATTATTGAAGTAATAATAAGTTCAAATATTTAAATTTTAATCAGAATATTATTAAAGTTATTTTATGAAATCTAGTGCACTAAACTGTTTAACACTTTGGTACACATACTGTAAATCAATGTTCATATATTAATAATTGTCTCAACCAGAGGCATCCATTTGTATTTATTTGATTCTTCCCCAGTTTACCCTTGTTGTTTGCAATTTCCATGCAATATTCCAAAAATAAAGTTGTGAAGATGGAGAATTTTCATAATACAAAAAAAGATGTTATCTTTGCCCTTAAGTAACAAACAGTTTATTATAGAGATTTCACAAAAAATATGGCTATCTCACAAGGCAACTTTGTGAGCTTTGAATTTAAATAAATTGACTATAGTTTGTCTTCTAAGCCCTTTCTCTCACCCCTTCCATTGTGCCACTTCCTGTTTCCCCAGTTCCAGATGAATTTATATTGCTCTATTTCTTGTGTCAATACAGAGTTCATAAAGTCATTCCTTCTAAGGAATTTGGATTTTGTGTATTGTTATATAGCTATCAAAATTATCAGCATTTAATTCCTTAACACAGCCAGGTGCAATGGCAAATACTTATAATCCCAGTGGCTTGGGAGGCTAAAGTAGGAGGATCACAAGTTCAAAGCTAGCCTTAGCAAAAGCGAGGTGCTAAGCAACTCAGTGAGACCCTATCTCTAAATGAAATACAAAATAGGGGACTGGAGTTGTGACTCATTGGTCGAGTGCTTGGCTGGCATGTGTGAGGCTCTGAGTTCAATCCTCAGCACTGCATGCACATAAATAAATAATAATAAAATAAAAGATCCTAAAAAAAAAAGAAAGGAAAATAAAATAGGGCTGGGGATGTGGCTCAGTGGTCAAATGCCCCTGAATTCAATCCCTTGGACCCCATCCCCCCAATAACAAATAAATACATACATAAAATAAATAAAATTTTTTAGAAATTTATTTATTCTAATTTGTTATATACGACAGCAGAATGCATTTCAATTCATAGTGCACATACAGAGCACAATTTTTCATGTCTCTGGTTGTACCCAAAGTAGAGTCACACCATTCGTGTCTTCATACGTGTATTTGGAATAATGATGTCCATTTCATTCACTATCTTTTCTAACCCCCTGTCTCCTTCCTTCCCTTCCCTCTCCCTTGTCCTGTCTAAAGTTTTTCCTTTCCTCCCATGCTCCCCTACCCAATCCCCATTATGGATCAGCATCCTCATATCAGAGAAAATATTTGGCATTTGGTTTTAGGGGATTGGCTTACTTCACTTAGCATAATATTCTCCAACTCCATCCATTTACCTGCAAATGCCATGATTTTATTCTCTTTTAATGCTGAATAATATTCCATTGTGTATATATACCAGTTTCCCTATCCATTCATCTACTGAAGGGCAGGTTGGAAGCCTGCTTTCTGATTGGTTCCACAATTTAGCTATTGTGAATTGTGGTGCTCTAAATATTGATGTGGCTATGTTACTATAGTATGCTGATTTTTTAAAGTATATATATTTTAGTTGTACACAATACCTTCATTTTGTTTGTTTATTTTTATGTGATTGCTGAGGATCAAACCCACGGCCCCGCACATGCTAGGGGAGTGCTCTACCACTGAGCATAACCCCAGCCCTAGTATGCTGTTTTTAAGTCCTTTGGATATAAACCGAGGAGCAGGACAGCTGGGTCATATGGTGGTTCCATTCCAAGTTTTCCAAGGAATCTCCATACTGCTTTCCATATTGGTTGTACCAATTAGCAGTCTCACCAGCAATGTATGAGTGTATCTTTTCCCCACATCCTCACCAACACTTATTGTTGTTTGTATCCTTAATAGCTTCCATTCTGACTGGAGTGAGATGAAATCCTACAGTAGTTTTGATTTGCATTTCTCCAATTGCTAGAGATGTTGAACATTTTTCATATATTTATTGATTGATTGTATATCATCTTCTGAGAAGTGTGTGGTCAGTTCCTTGTCCCATTTATTGATTGGGTTATTTGTTTTTTACAAATAAATAAATTTAACACAGAAGAATTAATTGCCAGGAGAGTCACTATAGCATTGGTCAGGCTTGGGTTCTGTTGTCCATTAGGTCTGTGTAATCTTAGCTCTGTGACCACAAGTGATTTATTTCCTCTCTAACTATAAGGTTCCTCATTCAAAACCCAAGGATCCTGCCAAGCATGGTGGTACACACCTATAATCCCAGGGACTTTGGAGACTGAGACAGGAGGACTTCAAGTTCAAAGTCAGCCTCATCAATTTAGCAGGGTCCTAAACAATTTAGCAAGGTCCTAAGCATCTTAATGAAATCCTGTCTCAAAATAAAAAATAAAAAGGGCTGGTGTTGTGACTCAGTGGTTAAGTGTCCCTGGGTTTAATATTCTTGGTACCAAAAAACAAAAACAAAGAACACCAGAATCCTTATAATACCTATTTCATAGGCCTTTTGTGAAAATTGAAGCAATGTATGTGAAAACCAAAATGTGTCATATAGCAAGTGTTTTTTATTAATACTGGTATTACTATTAGTGGAAGCATTTCACACCAGTTAGGGATAGAGAAAAGAGACCATCCTGAGCCTCTCAGTGTGTATTGAGTTTACCTCCACTTAAGCATCAACAATAACCAAGTCATTCAAGAACAATTTCCTGCTGTTTTTAGTGCTGGCGTCCTTTTCATCTCTATTCTTTCAACAGGAGCAGAATTTAAATCCAAGGTGAACACTTCTCTGTCCCAGAGATTGCTTCATCTTGGCATCTGTGTCCCTAAGCTGCCAGCCCAGTGCTGAGGATAGAGGAAGAATATTTTGGTGTGGGGCACTCCCAATTTCAGGCAGGTGTCCCAGACTAAACCTCTAGACAATAATTTAAATGCTATTCTCCCCAGTTTTGGGCACAGTGACTAGACTTGATTTCATCAGGTCAACACATACCAATCCAGTATTTTTCAAACTTTGGTTTTGGTGGTAGCTGTAGCATCTTATTCAGTAGAAGCTTGCTGGGAGCTGTGGCACATGCCTGTAATCCCAGTGACTCAGGAGGCCGAAACGGGGGGGGGGGGGGGGGGGGGGGGGGGGATTGCAAGTTTAAGGTCAGCCTTGGCAATTTAGTGAGATCCTGTTTCAAAATAAAGTAAAAAGGTTGGGATGTGGCTCAGTGATAGCGCATCCCTAGGTTCCAACTTTAGTGCTTAAAAAACAAACAAAAACCTACTTATCTAATCCCTTTATTCTGTAATTGAGGAAATCAGGTCTAAAGTTTTACTCAAGATCCCTGAACTAATTGAATCAAAGTCTCATCCAGAATGCCTTAAATGCCCTTGTTGGTTGTTATTAGTGCTTAACAAAGAGACCGTAGTTTATAGTATGAATCGGGAAGATTGGTGTGTTCTTTTTACTCCTACACATATTTCAGAAAACTAAGCAGAGGATGCTATACTTAGTTTCAGGATTAATGAAAGAGTTTGGAAGCCTGTCTAGAAGATCTCTTTAGAAGGCCGGGTGGAACAACTTCCAAAGCCAGAAGCGCTTGAGGATCAGAATGGCAGATGTAGGGACAATAGACCTTGGCTGAAGGGAAACTTTTACAGAGGGGAATAGTTCCCTGTGAAGCCTACAGAGCCTGGGCTTCTTGATTTTGCCTTGGTTTGGCCATGTGAATGCTCTGTGCAGATATTATCTACCCAAGTGCTGTGCTTGCTGGTTTAAAATGGGATGAAAATTTGAACTTTTTTTCCTCAACAGCTCACCAAGAAAGTGAACAACATAGAGACGGGCTGGGCCTTGGGGGCCACCTTTCACCTGCTGCAGTCTCTGGGCATCTCCCACTGAGGCCAAGCACTTCCTCTGAGGCCTGCATTCACCACCAACCTTTTTAAGTGGAGAAGAAGAGAAGACTTGTTCATTTTCTGAGTTAGTCTGGGGACAACCTGGATTGAGTGCAGTAGGTGGCTTTATCAGGGTGGAGGGACTTTCATATACAAATCTTGATCTTGAGCCTAGAGATTTGGGCAGAATTAATTTTACATGTCTAATGTGAACAGTTACCTAACCATTTGGGGGGCACAGATGGCTCTGAAATGTAAATCATTGAGAGTCTTTGTGTGACACAGAGAACCCTGTGAGCCAAAAAGAATAGCTTTGGAACTCAACCATGGAGTGAGAGCTCAGGGACAGGTCCCTGGGAACCAAAGAAACTCATTTTAATCCTTGGAGTGCCTCGTTCCTTTGAACATTTTAGTTTCCTCTTACATGCTAAATTAAGCTGATTTACTATAATCCCATGATCTAGCAATACCAGTATTTTTTTTCTTCCAATGTACTATCCTGCCTCTTCCATCCTTGTCTGCCCCACCTCCACCCCTAAAAAAGAGAGGAAAATTACTTGGTTTACTTTCCATGTGTAATTTAAAAAAAAAAAAAAAGAAAAAAAAAAAGAAACTGTGTCAAAATTTGTGTGATTCTTTTGTATACTAGCTCCAGTCAGCCATCTGAGATCTATCCTGATTCTTTTTCTTTTTTGGGGGGAGGGGGTACTCAACCACTGAGCCACATCCCCAGCCCTATTTTGTATTTTATTTTGAGGCAAGATCTCACTAAGTTGCTTAGTGCCTTGCTTTTGTTGAGGCTGACTTTGAGCTTGCAATCCTCCCGTCTCAGTCTCCAGAGGTGCTGGGATTACAGATATGTGCCACTGCTCCCAGACCATCCTAATCTTAAAGCAATAGAGATTTTAGTCTTAAGAAAGGAGGTCATCCCTTCCCCTATTTGCCAACAAATCTTTGTTTAGAGACTCTCCAAGTCCTAGTGATTATTACTATTCATTCTCCATTTGGTTTAAATAGGAGAGGGTTCCCTCCAGGCTACTGGCAGTTGCCTAAGTTTATGGTAGTGGAGTTTTTAGAGAGCAGGTTTAGTAAACAGAGGGTAGGATAGAGTCCCCATAATCTTGATGTCCTAAGTTTATTTATGTTTTAAAAAATACCTTTATTTTATTTTTATTTAATGTGGTGTCAGGGATTAAACCCAGTGCCTCACGCATGCTAGGAAAGCGCTCCACCAATGAGCCACAACCCCAGCCCTTGATGCCCTAATTTCATGACTTAGACAGTGGTTATCTCTTGCCTGTTGGTATTTTAAAACAGCAGAGTGGTTTAGAAACTTTCAGTTAAGACCTGGGTTTAAATCATGCCTGCATCACTTAATGGTTTCGATATTTAGGTGTAAGACACCTAAATTCTCGGAGCCTCTGTTTTCCCATGTATAAAATTAGGGTATGTACCTGTCTGAAGTATTGAGATTTAATTATGCCCCAAACTGTAGTCAACACATACTCTTCACCAAAGCCCCAGGCTGGTTAAGCCCATCATAACTTCTCTAGGGACTTCCAATTTAGGACTATATGATGTTAATAGCAGGCTATAGATTAAAGGGGCCTACACAAGGAATTCTGGATGTGGGCCCCTTTCCTTTCCCAAGTTCCTGTCCTACATCCCTTAGTGGAGCAACATCACTTTGTACAAGTGGCAGGAGGTTGGAGGAGCCAAACTTCTGGACCATGGCAGGGGCACATTTATTTGAATGGTAGCACTAATATTTGTGTAACCTGCTTGAGAGCTGTGTGGGAGAGTTTAGGGTGTTTTTTTCTTTTGGTGAGATTTGTTCTAATTTCAAATCCATTAACCCAAAACATGAGCCGGTCAAATTCCTTGTGATCTGTGGTGAAGGGATACCTGTGGAGAAATGGGACTGAGTGAGTCAGGCCAAGGGAATGCCTTATTTACAGAGTGGAGTCAATTGGATAACTGATGAACCAACAGTGGAATTGGGGAGGGCATAGGGAGACAAGCTTCTGACATCTTGGGCTGGATTAAGAGGAGGAAAGATTTAGGGTAGTAAGAAGGTAAGGGGTCATGGTCAGTCTAAATGCAGGAACAGTGTTGAATGAATTCACAGATATTACCTCATATACCAGACGTTAAGCAGAGCAGATTCTCAGATTCTTTGGGTCAGTACTTAGAAGAAGAGATTGCAGCCTTTCACGGGAGGTCAACCTTAGTTAAATCTACCTGTGCCTATAAATTCTTTGATTTTTGGTTCTTAATTCTGTGAAAGGAAATGGATAGACCTCTCATACTGCTCTATGCTTTTCCCTGAGCTCCAAATTCAAGCTCATAAAGATGCAGATTTTTAAATTTCCTGTAATTGGTTAAGAGAACAAGCTGTCTAGAGAGAAAGTTTGAAAAGTGAGATGGGTAAACAAGAGAAAAGATATCCATTTTTAGCCCTGATTCAGAAGCTAGTGACCCCAAGGAAGGATGGCTAAGCAATTAATCTTTCCTCTGCGTCCTTAACTTGCCTCTGCATTCCAGTTAGCTTTAGACAGTTGGCATTCATTCTGTACTGTACAAACTAATTTATTTTGAACAAGCAACAAAATAAGAATTTTATTTGGCACAGTCAGGGCTCCATTTCTGCTGTTACTCCTTCACTCTGCCTCTAAGCACCCCTCTCCCATCCCTCCCACATTTGATAGCAGTCTGCCCCTCCCATCTACAGTGTCTTAGCTTCCCTCCTCTCTTCCACTCGTTGTTGGTCCTCATTTTTAAAAAATTTTTGGTAAATATTTAGGTATAAAGCATTATAATAAGTGTTATTTGGATATAAAATTAAAAGATACTATCTCTATTCTTTGAGGATCTTTTAGAGGAGGCACATGACTCAAATGTTCAGTTGCACAACTTGTAGTCAGTTTTGTGGGTTTTTAAAATTTTTTTTTTTTTTCAGTCCTAGATAGACACAATGCCTCCACTTTATTTATCCATTTTTATGTGGTGCTGAAGATCGAACACAGTGCCTCACACATTCTAGGCAAGCGCTCTTTTATTGTTACTGGCCTGAATACTGGAACCAATTCATACTCTTCCTTACAGTAATGTTTGAAAAATGAAGTCAGGGACTTAAGATTAATTAAAAGAATCAACATTAAAAAAAGAAAGGGAGGGAAGGAGGGAGGGAAAGCAGGCAGGCCATCCAGTGCTTTATAGCCTGCCTTCCTAAGTCAACTTTTTAACAATCAGTTCTGGGATTAATGTACATATCCAGATTTATAGGTATGTGCATATTCAGTGTCAATACCAGCTCCCAGGCTAATGTGATCATAGAATTATCTGATCCTAAACTTAATGTTATTTCTAAGAAATAACATCTATGCCCTGGCTTTTGGTCTGTGGTCAAGATCAGTGTGTGGCTATTTGAGAATCTAGATTTTGATCACAGTCTCTTTCAGTTGGCTGTTTGTACATTCGCACACCCACTAAGGGTTGAACCCTGGGCCTAGTGCTTGTGCGTGCTAAGCACACACTCTGCCACTAAGATACTTACTCTCTCAACGCCTTTTGCTTCTCTCCATTTGTAGCAGTACTTTGCTGCTTTGGTCTCTGATGGTTTTAGCTAAAATCTTATGAATTGGGGCTGGGGTTATAGCTAAGCAGTAGAGCGCTTGCCTTGCACTTGTAGTAATGTTCTGGGTTTGATCCTCAGCACCACATGAAAAATAAATAAAGATATTGTGTCCATCTTTAAAAAAAATCTTAATTAAAAAAAGAATCTGGGGCTAGGGTTGTGGCTCAGTGGTAGAGCGCTCACCTAGCACGTGAGAGGTCCTGGGTTTGATCCTCAGTACCACATAAAAATAAGTAAATAAAATAAAGATAATAAAAAATTTATATAAATAAATAAATAATCTTATGATTCCAGGATTTCCAATCCTTTTCCCAATAAAACACCGCATTTTATTTTGTTGGCTATTTTTGTCCATTATCAGAATATTGTACCTGCATTTCCAGAGAATCATACTTAATGACTCTTTTTGAGTCAGTATCTGGAGCTCTTCATTTTGTGAATTCTCTCTCCTGAAAGTCATTATCTTAATTTTTTTTTTGAAATTTTTACCATTTTGTACTTTTCTATGTGACCATTATCTGCTTGTCTGATATTTTATTGTTTTTGAACTGGAAAGAGCTACAGTTTGGCTTCTTTGCCATGGCTCTTTATCTTCTTTTTTTTCCAGCAGTTGCATCTCTGCAAACTTGTAGCTTTTATTCACCTCCCTTTCCTTCCACTCTCACAAAGGATTATTAAATATGTGTAACTCCCACACTAGCTTGGGAACTTTTAGTTACTCCATTGAGTCAAGAAACATCTGCTATGTGCAAGGAACTAGGCAAATTTCTATATCCTTAACCCCCCAATTAATTTTTTAAAAAAATTCAATGTGGAGTTTCTTCAGACTTTTATAAAAAATATTTTTATTTTTTAGTTGTAGTTGGACACAATACCTTCATTTATTTATTTTTAATGTGGTGCTGAGGATCGGATCCAGGGTCTTGTGAGTGCTAGACAAGTGCTCTACTGCTGAGCCACAACCCCAGCCCTCTTCAGACTTTTTTTTTTTTTTTCCAGTGGTGGAGCAGGGGGTCTCATTGTTATTCAGGCTGGTTTCAGACTCCTGGTGAAGTGACACCTGCCTCCACACTACCCCCTAGTTCAGTCTAGAGTAGCTAGTACTACAGGCGACTGTCACTGCACCCAATTCAAACTGACTCTTATTACAAAGGTCACCTTTATACCTGGTACCTTCCTCAAAAGAATGTTAATATGTAATGAAATAAGAATCTTTAGAATCAGAGACAGACCAACTCTTTTTTTTTTCCCCCCAAGCAGGAATCCTCAGTGTTTCCAACAGGTTTATTCAGTGCCTGTTTTAAGCATTTTCAGACAGTTCGTTTCACTTGAGGACTGTGCTGATGTTTACCTCCTCCTCCTGTTGAGCTGAAATCTACCTATCTTTTTAGTGGTCTTCTTCTCAGACTCCCATTCCAAAGCCTTCCAAACTCTTTGAAGACAATTCCTAAATTCTTTATGGTTTCTTCTTTAACATGTGACATGATGCCTAGATCCCCTACCATTTTTAGTCAAAGTAGGGTTCCTGACCAGTACCAAGTGTTAACATGATTGAAAGACTGTTACCTCCAGTAGAAACCAAGTTGTTGCCCCAAGAAGTAAGCTGTGTTCATTAGACTCCTGCCACCTGCCAGGTCCAGGAAGATGAAGCTCCCTGGTCTTCCTCACCTCAGGAGGTCTCGGAAGCTTTTCACAGCAGTGGCCCTGTTTGTGAAGTGTGTTTCTTTGGTCACCTTGGATACCTTCAAAACTCGTGGGTAGATGCAGTCTCACTTCAGAAATCTATTTGCAAAAATTAACTGATTTGTCCATTTTAAGTGCAATTTGGGGTGAGAATCATTTCTTAGAAAAAAAGATTTGAAAATGTGCCGTTTGAACCTTTTACTAAGGAA